CATTAGATTCTTAATTCCAGATATTTTGTATTGAGTTCAAATTCCACCATCTGCCATGGCGGGATTGAAACCCAGGTCCCCCAGAACATTATCTGGGTCTCTGGATTAACATTTCAGTGATAATACCACGAGGCCATTGCCTCCCTGAGGTGAAACCTCAAATCCCTGAGGTAAGTTAGTTTTTACGCTCAGCACCCACGCTCCTCTCTCGAACTCCGCTCCCTTGAAATAAGGCCGCGAATCCCTGAGGTAAATTAATTTTAAACTCACCATTCTGTGTACTCATACCTCTGATGGGGCGCCCTGGAAACAAATAGGAACAGAGACAGTTTGGTATCTGGTGAAGTTGTAGGCTGTTTCTTTAAGCCTAGCTTCAATGTTGGGGCTGCTCCTTCTGCCAGACCATTGGGTGATGGATGGTATGTAGCTGTTCTTATATGTTGAATACCATTCGACTTTAGAAAATACTAAAATTCTAGTAAACAATGGCCCGTTATCTGTGGCCAACACTTCTGGGAGTCTGTGTATTGCAAAGGATGCGTGCAGTTTCTCTGGCGTTGTCCCTGTGTTTGACAACTGAGCTCTGTACACATTCAGCCACTTTGAATGGGGGTCCATAATGATGAACAACATTGAATCCATGAAAGGACCTGCATAGTCGATATATAACTGAGTCCAGGGTTTACCCAGTCATTCCTACGAATGTGGGGAGCTGGTGGCAGTAATTTTTGTCCTTATTGGCACTCTGGGCACTGTTCCACCATCCACTCCTGGCCACCACACATAACTTCTCGCCCACATCTTCATTTTGGAAACCCCTGGATGACCCTGGTGGGGTTCAGCCTGTACCTGGCGGCAACACGTCGCTTGGGAATGTCTCTCTTGCTGCCCATAATAATATGCCGTCCTGTATTGTGATTCAGTCTCTCTAGGTCCAAAAAAGTTTCAATTCTGATTGAGATGGCCCTTTGAAGTTGTACCCTTAATCTGCATGGGTTCCCTGGTATAGGTTCTCAGCCTAGCTGAGGTCTTGCGCAAACATAAGAGTTGGAGTCCAGAGTGAATTTTGTTAAAGACTAGTTCTGAGATCACTGAAGTGACCTCACTAGTATCGACCTCCGTTAGAACCGGGCGACCATTTATGTTTATTTTGATTGGTTCTGATTTGGATGTTGCTAAGCAATTTGACCGTTCCAAAGCAGATGTAGGCGGACTTTCCGGTGTGTGCACCCTCCTGGATACCAGCCTATGAGTTCTCTTTCTCAATTTAGGTCTAATGCAACTCCTTTGCTGTCTCGAGTCTGCATATCAGCAGCAATTACATTAGCGTGCCAGCCTGGATCCTGAAGAAAATTTTAACCGTCTGACCGAGGCTTGGCTTTGTTTTGGGGTTTTGTTGTGGGCTGACCTAGAGTTCCTCTGCTCAGGATATGTCCTGAGTGAGACTGTGCAATTACCTTCACTCAAGTGGTGTTCCCCAAGCTCAGTCAGACTGGCAAGGATGCCCACTTCCATCAGAATACCCTGCAGCTCATATGCTCCCCATGCTGCATTTTCCAGTGAGAAAGCCAGAGCCTGTTTGAAGTTCAGTTGGGCTTCAGCTAGTAGGTGCTTTTGCATGGTTACATCATTAATTCCACATACCAACAGTCTCTCAACATCTCATTAAGGGTTAAACCCCAATGTCACATGCATCTGATAGTTGCCTTAACCTAGTCAAAAGTCCTGATGTGGATTCCTCTGGTTCTCAAATTGCCGAGTAAAACTGAGTAAACGCATCTCAGAATTAGAGAGTACTTGGGCTTGTAAAATTCTTTCACTATGTCCGCCAAATCTTGAAAGGTTTTAGTATCTGATGCCTCAGGGAAAGTTAGGCTTCTTGTAACAGAGCAAGCTGCAGGTCCACAAGCTGTCAGAATTACTCGTTGCTTTTCATCTGCCCCAATGTCATTTGCCTGAAAAAAAGCATGCATTCCTTCCACGCACTGGGCCCAGTCATCAATGGCAGAATCAAACGAGTCAAGCTTCCCAAGTAACGGCATGATGTCAGAAATGCTTCCCCAACTCAAACAAGACTGTTGCGAGCAAATTTTTTCAGGAGCATGTTTTTCTCTTGTTGCCACTTAAATAACTCCACAGAGTATCCTGTCACCAAGTCATCCCTTATTTACACGTGGAGAGACCTTGACACCATTCCAGCTCCATCAGACTCTCGGAGTGAACAGAATGTCCGATACCCCTAATCTTCTCTGTCTGCCAGGACTCCCTGATTGGATCAGGGCAACAGCCCCAATCAGGGAACTCATATTCTTGTGAGGTCCACCTGGCTGACCCTGTTACAATCACTGCAGTCACCATGAAACTTGTCATAACAAAATCTCTGGTTCACAAATATCCATCAGGGAAGAATATCCATCGATTCCACCAGGTGTGGGTCCCATGTCGCACTCCAGTCCTACTCTAAGGTGGTTGACCCTATAACTGCCCTCTGAAATGACCTGTCCAACCATTTGGCCATGTCAAGAATGGCTGAGGAGTTCAGTTACCACAAGGAGATGAGACACAGACACCTTGTACCCAGTGCCACCTGCAGCCCGAGGGTGAACTTTACAATGGTGCTTTGAAATCTCAAAACAAGGAACCACTGAGCACTGAGATAATTTCACTCCCCTATAAATGGACATTACATCCTGATCACCAGGATTTCCCCAACTGTGTTAGTTGTTATTGAAAAATAGTGGTCAAGATGCGGGTTATTAGAGGAGACTGGATAAGCACATAAAAGGGGAAAGGAATTTGAGGAGTGTGCTGACTATGGATGAATAAAATGTTTTTTTTTGTGTGTGGTGTATAAATATTGGCAGGAATTGATTTGACAAAATGACCTGTTCCTAGCTGTAAATTCAATCTAGTTACATGATGGTTTGACATGAGCTTCAACAGTTTTGTGTGTTTGCTGGTTCCTCGATGTGACTGATGAACATTCCAGTCAGACAAGGCCAATTAAAGATCAAAGAACTGCTACTTGAATGCTTAGGTGATATTTAATATCTATTGCTGCTGTGTGCATGTTTCATCAGAAGCTACTGATACTCTCCATTGTCACAAGGGGATATGTTAGAGGGGCCTGCACAGTTCTGCTGGTCCTTTCTGGCCCAATCTCAGGTGGATGTGCTTCAGATTAGGTGGTGTTGTTCATTTAATTTAGTTCAAATATCAAAGGGCATGGAGTATAAAAGTGGGAGGTTTTGCTAAAACTATATAAGGCCTAATCAGACCACAGCTATGAACCATGAACAGTTTTGAGTCCCTTATCTAAGGAAAGGTTTAGTTGCACTGGGGGCAGTCCAGGGAATGTTCACCAGATTGATTCTAGGAATGGATGGACTGTCTTATGAGGAGAGGTTGAGTAGTTGGGCCTGTACTCATTGGAATGGAGAATGAGAGGCGACCTTATTGAAACATAAAACATTCTTAGGTGAATGCTGAAAGATTGTTTGAGCTAGGTTGAGGGGGTCACACATTTAAGATAGAGATGAGGAGGAATTTCTTCTCTGAGAGGGGAGTGACTCTGTGGAATTCTCTATTGCAGAGAGCCATCGAGACTGGGTCATTAAGTATATCCAAGGCTGAAATAGACAGATTGTTAATCAGTAAGGGAATCAAGGGGTATAGGGAAAAGACAGGAAAGTGGATTTGAGGATTATCAGATCAGGCATGATCTCATTGAATGGTGGAGCAGACTTGATGGGCTGAAGGCCTACTTCTTCTCCTACCTTTTATCGCAGGTCTTATGGTCTTATTAGAATTTAAATAAGTGCCAAGTTCAAAATAGTTGGAAAGCTTGAAACTACTCAGAGCAATTAATGTGTCTTTGAAAGCCTCTCTGAGCAGTTGACTGAACCTCAAGGTGGAATCGGCCACTGAGGAACAGCACCTTCTACTCATGTCACATGCTGCTCTAACCAAACAACTGCTCACTGTCACTGAGATGCCTTAGACATTGCCAGACTTCAGTAAGCTTATGTATAGTCTGTTGCCCTGGCACCACTTCCCTGTGCCAGCTATCCAGCTGTGGCTTCTGAGTTTCTCAGAGATGCCAGTTAAGGACATAGAGAAATTGAGGAGCTTAACCACTTTACACTGTTTCAGGCACGGTAACATTACTCTGATTGGCTACCATGCATGTGAGCAGCATTGTGACCTGACCCTGCCTAACCAATTAGAAGTGAGACTCAGGTTGAAACATGAATAAATCACAACATATTCCAGCCAGGAGTTGTGCTGTAGTGTCTTTGGAAACACATTTCCTCCTCTCTGTTCCCCTCGGATTGGAGGGATTCCCTGGCACTGGGGCTAAGATGTTTTGGTGGACCTGCCTGAACAGACAGAACAAAGAGCCTGTGTTAGTCAGAGTCTCACACCCTCTGCTCCACCGTCACAGGGTCACTATCAGCACCCACTTCCCTGTGTCCAGCAAGGTCACAGGTCACAGGTACTATATAGGGCTCAAATGTCATTGGGTAAGGCAGAGGAGAATTAGGAAATCTGAAACTGTATCTAACCCCATACTGAGCCTGTGCTAGAAGTGTTTGATGGGGACAGTGTAGAGAGAGCTTTACTTTCCATTTAATTTGTGTTTAAAATAGTAGAGGGAGTTTTACTCTGTATCTGATTCTGTGATGTCCCATCCCTGGCAGTGTTTGACGGGGACAGTGTAGACAGAGTTTTACTTCACTTGCTTTCAGTTTTAAAAGAGAACAGAGAGCTTTAGTTTCAGTTTAAAAGAGTAGAGAAAGCTTTGGTTTGAGTTTAAGAGTCAAGGCAGTATTCATCTTTACTCTGGGCGCTTAATTGGGAATGCGACGGGAATGTGATTTAGATCAGTAATGGTTCTTGACCCCTTTAGCAACGAATTTCCAGGGTCAATCCCCAAACCTTTTTGTTTAAATATTAGCTGTGATTTACTGATGAAATTGTTGCTCCTGATGTAATTGCAGGTGATTGTGTGGGGTGATTATGGTCGGATGGACCACAAGTATTTCATGGGCATGGCCCAAATCCTGTTGGAGGAGCTTGACCTGTCGACCCTGGTAACTGGCTGGTACAAACTCTTTCCATCCTCATCTCTTGTGGACTCGACAATGGCTCCCCTCACTCGCCGCCTCTCTCAGTCCTCACTGGACAGTAGCACGGGTCCGGCTGGGCACTCTACCTAACAGTCAACGGGACCAGATCGAGTGCATATCATCCGAGTGCCCAAGAGGTGGCTGTAAATACTGTATGTGCAATTCAATCAACCGCTGCTATTGCTAGTGTCTCTTTCATTTATTTTCATTGACGTTGCAAGTGTCTGCAAACATGTGCACTGATTCAAGCATCGGGGGACATTGCTTTTGTACGCCCAAGGGATATCGTGCAATAGAGGGAGAACCTTACAGTTCCACTCTGTGAAGATAACCTTCCTGTTTCTGATAGCACTGTGTACACCAGACAGCAATCAGACCCAACAAAACACTGAAGCATTTGGCAACACTTAGACTGAGCAGTCAAACAGATCATCAGTGGGATTCAGGCTATTGTGAACCCAATTCCAGGAATACATTGATAGATAGATGCCACTATGCACTCTTGTCATCATTGCTACCAGATTGTTTGGTCTCCAAGTAGCTGCCAAGGAGCCCCAGCTGACTGGAATTCCTCTCTGTTTTTCTTTTCCTTCAACTTGGCTTCAATTTAATGCATTCAGAATGTACTAATCAAGGTTCTCCCTCCAAGCTGGTGGAAGATGTTGGTATTTCCACTACTCAGCAAATAAATTGGCCCTTTTTATTTTGACCAGGACATTGTTCCTTCCTGATCCCTGCGTTTGTTTAATGTCACAATCCTACAATCCCACCTAAGCCTTACCAAATGTCTCTGAGCATGAATGCCCTCCTCTGAATGAGAAACGAGAAGGCATGCTGAATATCTTTGTACCCTTTGCACTGGCATAGGCAGCCATCATCTCGCACCCCAAACCCTGGTAACCAGGTACGTTTCATCCTTCTACAGACTTCCAACAAGTAACTGAGATTAGGTCTCAGCCCTGATAAAGTACACAGCTTAATCCATGCATTGCGATCTCAATGAAGATCCCATAGTTTGGGTCGAGACCTAATGCACAGTTCCAGCCAAACCAACAATCTTCCCTTCTATTTTCCACTGCTTCACAAATGTATCTCACTGCATCATGGACAATGCAGACAAAGGAACGTTTGCATGTTCTTCCCATTTTAAACTTTGTTGACTCCAATGAATACACGCTGCAATAGTGACTGTTCCGGAAACCTGGAACTCTGACCAATGGATTTGGAGACAGGCAGCAAAGGAATCAGAAGGGCTACTGTTTTATTTTTCTTCAATTAGCTGCACTGTGGACCTTAGATCTAAAAAATCTCCCAAACTGTCAGTCCAACGCAGGGATAATACTTAGTGCTGTCTGTTCGATAGACACCGAAGCCAGCCTTGCTCCAGACTGGTCAAGTTGCCTCTCGTGCTTGGATCAGGCCCAGTACCAAACTCTGCCATCTCGGTAAGACCAGAAGGAGGCCCCAAAGATGGGCTACTCCAATTGCCGACTGGCCAATTATTAAAAATTACATGGTGCCGTTCCGACCCTGGGGAGAAATTAAAAGTTCGAAGATGCAAATTGTTCATTAGATTCTAAATCGGTGTCCTTTTCCTCAATGGCGGAAATGAGACCAGACCGGAGACTTCACCAAGACCTGCAGACGTGACATAACCTGTGTCTAAGAATGGCCCAGGGCCCAGTACTTTCATGGTATGCCCGAAACAATGAGAAAATAGATGCTGTGTGTTAACTTGACAGCTTTTGGGAGACATAGGATAACGTCTGGCTGATGGTCATTAATTTTTGCCATCTGTGGATTTTAAAGGAATACCAATAATAATGACTATTAATTGTGGATTTCTCAGAATCACAATATAAAGTGAAAGGCGCCTGGAGATCCAACGCCAATTATCAAAAAGAAACTGGAAAAAGACAGACAGTCTTTAAGGTAAGCACTTTATGGTTTTGTAGATGCTCACAGTGATCTCCTGAGGAAAGATCCATGAAGACCTTGAAATGGCTTCAATCATGAGGAACTCGAGGATCTGAAGATTGACAACTCTCTTCCTCCATCTTCACTGTCAAGATTCGATTGGACTCAGAGAGACAATGAGCCGATTGCTAAGGTTTAATTAAATGTGATATTTTGTGTAATTACGGCAGAAATGTAGCATTGTCACTCATCTAGCTGTGATCTCACCGTGTTTCACAAAATTGCAAATGAGCAGAGCCAACACAATGTTGGCACCTGAAGTCACCAGTGTTTAGCCAATGGAATCAATGATATGGGAGGTGGTCACCATCATCTGGACCACCACCAAATGCCAGCACAGCAGAGGAGAAGACCATATCACCAAAGGAAAAATGCAACTGTTGTGAAAAGATGTCCAGTGTATTTGCACTTTGATGGGGATCTCGCTTCACGGAAGCTGTTTGGAGGATTTTTATCTGTGGCAAGGCCGGGACTCAAAACCAATTTTGTATGGGCACTGAGGTGATATTTTAACAAGAAGAACTTTATGCAGTTTTATCATCAAGTTAAGACCCAACTCATCAGATGACTTACTGTTACAAGGGCATTTTCTTCCTGTACAAGTAATGTGGTTTTACAATCAAACTGTCGGATGTCTCAACATTGGTTTGATATAATAATTAATGACTGTCTTGTAAAGTTTGGTCAAAATTTGATGCACTTATTGTTAGCCTTGATTGCACTGTCTTTGTGGAGTATATAAAGTGCATTAAGCATCTCTATATTGTATATAAATGTGACATTTTCAATTAGAATGTTAATGGTTAAGAAGAGACAGACCATCATTTAGGGGCTTCCATCAGTGTTTGATCACAAATTGTTTGCGACAGAATGTAGGAGCAACTTACTACAGATGCTGGAATGTGTACTGCAAACAAAAAAATGCTAGGAGATCACTGTGGATCAGGCAGTATCTATGAATGGGTGGGGGACTGCACATCCCCAGGTTTTGAGAAAGATTACATACAGATCCACAAAGGGGGTCCTTATAGCCAATCGGATTCCTGCTGTCAGGAACCTCACACGTTGCCTGGACTGAGAGGAAACAGGAGCAGTTTGGGGTGGTTTTCTCCCCATCATCCCTCCTTGGGAGCACTGCAGCAGGTCTCCACTGTCATCCCACACAGTCAGCGACCAAACCTTGGTCTTACTGCTCCAAACTGGTTAAGAGTTCAGTGCTTCACAAAGATGTTTAAAGTCAGCCGTGTGATGGCTGGTATTAATGGAATGGAGCTGGAACAAGGGAGCAGACAGTGTAGATTGGGGGCACTATTTCCACTGTTTGGGGAGTCTAGGACTTAGGGGATAATCTGGAAATACCTGTCCAGAGTCTAAGTAACAAATACCTCCACATGCAAAGGATGGACTATCAATTGCAAATAGCAATCGATGCTGGATCAGTTGTTCATGTTTGATCTGAAATTGATAGATTCACGTTAAGCGAACCTACTGCAGGATATGGATCAAAGATGGAGTTAGGTGGCAGATCAGCCGTGATCTCACTGGTTGGCAGGGCTTTGAGTGTCTAAATGGTCTCCTCCTATTCTTATGTTGTATGTGTACAGAGGCCTCAACAACTGGAGTAGGCATTGTCTACCTTTTAGGCTGAATCATACAGGATGCCAGACTCGCTGTTAGCTTCCACCCACTTCCCATGGATTGGGATAGAGGGAGCCCACTGAAGGTAGTTGGCCATTAAGATGGAGGTTTTCATTTTCTGGTTCAAAGAGACTCACGCTGAGAGAGCCAAACAGAGGCAGACAGAGATGATAGGGATACCACACCACATTTTTTTCATTCCTGCCCTCAACCACAACCCTCCTAGCTTTCCAACGTGGCTCCCACTCTCATTGGTGGCTCCCACTCTCATTGGCCGAACCTCCCTAGTTCCTGTAAGTTAGCTCGAGTTAGCTCGAGGCCCTGACACTACCACAATGTCTTTGATGCAGTACTAGCAATAGCCACTGAACCCAGTGGCAATATTAGTATGGGGCATAGCTGCTGGTCTTAGATTGGTCAGCAGCTGTATGAGATGAAACTTCCTTTTGGGGCCCTTGCCTCATAACAACTTAGAAGCTGAATCCTTAAAACAGGCCTAAGTGGAGGGGACTGTCCCTCAATATTTAAGCTGGGTTGTAGAGGGCCCATCCTCAGTTGTATAATGTGTCTCTTGCCAAAATTTCTAACATTGGTTGAGATGCTTCTTAAAGGGATAAAGAAAAACAGAACAACAAACAATGAGGTAACTAGCCACCTTGAAACAATAAGTTACATTAATCTGCTGCATTCCTTTTCCTCACAGAGAAGGAGGAGACTGTTAGGCGATTAGTGGTGATTTGGAAATCCAGAAATTCCAGCCCTGGGTCAAATATCATTGTTTGGGAACATTATCCTCAAGATAATTCTAATTCCCACAACATTAAGTTGTCCAGCATCAAAGGTGTGTAATTGAATGTCCAGCTTGGTGAACATTGTCATTTAACTAAAAACTGAAAGAACTGTGAATGTTGTAAATCAGGTAAAAAAACAGAAAGTTCAGTAGATCTGGCAACATCTGTGGAGACAAAACAGAGTTAATGTTTTGGGTCGAGTGACTGTTCCTCACCAGACCCGAAACATTAACTCTGCTTTCTCTCCACAGATGCTGCCAGACCTACTGAACTTTTCCAACAATTACTGTCATTTAACTGTGTGTTTGGACAGGTTATTGACTTGCTGGTAGGCCATTCCTCACAATGCTTATCATAGAATCCCTACAGTGTGGAAACAGGCCATTCGGCCCAAGAAGTCCACACTGCCCCCTCTGAAGAGCATCCCACCCAGACCCATTATCCTACCCCTGATTTCCCCATGTAACCCAAAGATCCCTGGGCACTATGGGCAATTTAGCATAGCCAATCCACCTAGCCTGCACATCTTTGGACTGTGGGAGGAAACTGGAGCACCTGGAGGAAACCCACACAGACACAGGGAGAATGTGCAAATTCCACACAGACAGTCGCCTGAGGCTGGAATCAACCCCAGGTCCCTGGCGCTGTGAGGCAGCAGTGCTAACCACTGAGCCATCATGCCAC